TTGCTGGGGGAGGACCCAGCCCATTGTGGGTGGTGCCATTTCTGGGCTGGTGGTCCTGAATTCTATAAGAAAGCAGGTTGAGCAATGACGAGAATTGGTTCTAATGCTTTGTCTTATTTTGGCTCCTAAAAGCTGCGCTGCACACACCTTCACCAGCTAAGCCATCTCGCCAGTCTTCTTAGTTTTCTATAACGCCAGTTTTCGAGGGTACCACCTTCAGAGCCCAGTGAAGAGTGGGGACTTCGCATCAGTGAACCGTGATGAAAAAATGTGAGAATACATAAAACCAATGTGGGGGTATTATCTTAGTCCATTTGCGCTGCTATCTCAAAACTTCTGCTAGTAGGTGTCGTATTTTAAAATTTACACTCACCGATTTTAGCTTCCCCTCCCTAGGCAGGCCATAAAGCTAGAATTTCTTTTCCACAAGGTGGGCTATAGAAACTCTAATCTTTTCCTACCCATCTTGCAGCTGGCCATAAAGATATCCTATGATCTACATAAGGAGCCTCCCCATTCCAGAGAAAACTGCTCCATACCTGGAGGGAGGGATACTGCACAGAGTCTGAGAAAAATCCAAAGGGGCCTTGCTGTGTCTATCCTCCCCACCCCTGATCCAGTCAGCACTGGACCAAACACCTTTTGTCCAACAGCTTCCATCATACCTGGGAAATGAAATCTCCATAAAAATCCAAGACATGGATGGGGCGCGGTCCTAGGTAGCTGACCAAGTGACAGTTCACAGAGGATGGTGCACTAGGAGAGGACAGGGAAGTTCCTTGTCCCACCCCTTCTGTAGATCTTTATAAGCTAATAGAGATGTTTGGGTTCCTAGAGCCATTCTAGCAAACCCAACACTGAAGAGGGCTGGGAGAGACCAGGATTTATGTTAGAAGCACAGGGCCTAGGTCTAGAACCTGCTGAATGGAAGCAGTCTTGCCAGCTGAACTCTCAATAGCATCTGTCTCCAGACAGGTCATGTTAGAACTGGAGACCCAGAGGTGTCAACCACAGCAGCGGTGTTGCTTTCTGTGGGGGAGCAGTCTCCCCTCCTCATGAGATCACATTAGTCTTGAGTGCTGTGAGGCAGGAGAGCGAGGAGAAACTCTCTTTGGAGATACAACTGGGCTTTGTTGCACTGATGGTTAAACCCAGGGCTTTGTACATGCTCTGCAAACCCTCTACCTACTGAGCTACACCCCAGCCCTCTGAGACCTTTTGTTTTTGTTTAAAATGGGAACCAAACTCATTTATGAGGGTACCACCTCATGAATCTAGTCATGTTCCTAAGGCTCCACCTTCTAATTCTGACATATTGGGAAATGGCTTAGGTTTTAATACACAGATTTTGGGGGATGGGGTTGAAAAACTTCCTATCTAATATGGAGGGAGAAATACTTTTTCATTTACCCATGTTAGGTTTGTTGGCTGTGCCCTCCAAATTAGACCAACAAAGGGCAGATGAGCAAGAGAAAAAACAAGTTATCAATGAGGCAGTGGGTGTACACAGAGCAATGATACATGGGAAGGATGTGCAGAGCATTCCCATAAACAGCAAGACCTTTGTAGGGAAGCTATAAAATGTTTTAGGGTGAATGGTGGCCAACTGAGGAAGAGCACCAAAATGGGGACAAGGCAGACTTTGTGTGGGATGGTTTTCGTGGAAGCTGTCTTCAGGGACAAGACTGTTCACCCTTCCTGGGGTGGGGTGGAGGTCACCTCATTGTAATGGCAGAAATTAGGCTGTTTTCAGGTAGATCAGAGAGGGCAGAGGTGAGCTTCGATTTCTCAATGGCTTTCTACTTAGAATAATCCTTATGGAGAGTGGCATATTTGGGGTGCCATGCCATGAACCCGTAAGTAAAATTGACCCCCGTCAGGAACTGATCTGACGAGAATTTCCCCTTGACAATTCGTAAAGAAATAGCAGGTCCTTAGCCCACCTTTACCTGCCCCATACTCCTTGGGGACACCTTTCTTTGACATCTGCTCTTCTCTGCCTACAGGTTTTCTTTCCAGAGGACAGACATACAGCAACCTCCCTACTAGTAGGCCTCCACTGACAGTAGACAGGAGTGGCTGTACACTGCTTCGTTTTCTCTTGAGTGGGATTACTCTGATGGTGTATTGTGACATCTTCCAGGGTGGCACCAGCAGGGTCCGGGCTTCAGTGGGTCTCCAGGCCACTGTACCCAGTATTGTCAGTCTCCCATTCTTACCATTACCCCCTTTTCCAGGAGTATTTGCTGGGATTTCTGTAGACTAAGATTCTACCTGGCTATTTAAGAGTTAGAAGAAAAAGTCCACCCAGTACTGGCCAGAAATAGCCACAGGGTGCAAACAGGTCAGGACTCCATTACAAGTGATGCCAAGAGGAGCCATTTCTTAGAGATACCCCTGTTGGGTCCAGAGCCCTTGCCACTCAGAGAGCAGGCTTCATGTTATCTTATTTCTTCTGCTCCTACTAACCGGCCTGAGGTATGGCTGACTAATTAAATTGGCACTGAATTGAGCCGTGCATTTCTTGCTTGAAAAGTGAAAATACATGGTCTCACTGAATGTGTACCAGCTGTGGCTCCACCTGGTTGGGAAGCCAAGCCTAGAAATTGTAGGTACTTACGCTGCCTCAGAACCTCAAGGAACTTACCTTCCTGACTCTGTGCTGGATCCAACTTTTATGTTTCTGAATAAAAGACACTGAAGACAGATTTGTAGCTGACTGTGGTGGCATATACCTGTAGCCCCAGCATCCTGGAGGCTCTGGTGGAAGGATTGTGAGCATAAGGCTAGCCTGGGCTACATAGCAAATCTTTGTCTCAAAAAAAAAAATGAAGAAAAGAGACAAGATAGTTTCTCTCTGTCTATTTTGGTGACAAGTGAGATCCTTTGATGGAAACTGGATCTGTAAGGAAAAATAAATGATAAATAACAGAGTCATTAGCCCCATAATCAATTCCTTGTGACCTATCTCAACAGCTTTCCACTCTACAGTCTTACCTGTGAGGGTTCAATAGCTAAACACTTTTTGCAAAAAGGTAAATTATTTTAGAGTTCAAATTCCTTCTATTTGACTCTCTCTCTCTCTCTCTCTCTCTCTCTCTCTCTCTCTCTTTACTTCCTTCCATTTATTCTTTCTGTCTCATTTTCTTCTTTCTCGTTCTCGTCCTCCTCTTCCTCCTTCACTGATCTCTTCCTTTCTTCTTCTTTGCTTCTTGAAAGTCAGCCACATTGCTTTACCCCAAGGCCATGGCTCTATTTGTAAAGTCCTAGAACATCTATCTCCTGGGCTCAGCCAATGCCAGCACCTTCCCTGTTAACTCCCCATTCCCTGAGAGACCCGAGCAGCTGAGATAGACTCCTCCTCTCCCAGAAGTTCACTAGGGTGTTGTGTTTGACCATATTCACTGTCCCAAAGGAATCTTTTGCTTTCGTTGCTTCATTATTGGCTGAGGAAAAATGCTATGGGAGAGGTTGGTTCTCCAAGATTTAGGAAAGAAAATTCTGGAAGCATCTTTCTCTAAGAGGAGGCAGCTTGTCATGTTCCTCTGATGAAGGCTCATTTTGGACAGAGAAAGACACTCAACTACCCCTTTCCTTTTGTCAGAACTGAGGGCTAAGCCTCAAAGCCCACTGTACCCACAAAGTCCTTCTCTACTGTGTATGTTTTAGGGTGGTACTTCTCTGGGCTCTACACCTACAGGTCTATCTACGAACCTATCCTACCACAGAGCCTTCTGGAAACACCCTTGGCCATGGCAGTGGGACTTTGGGCTGCCCCACACCATCTGACCTCCACCTCACTTCTTCCTGGCCAGGAGGATCCTCTCTGGTCTGGATGCTATTCGATCAGCCTGAGCTCTGGACTGTTACTCCATATTCTATAAGGCAGCAACTTTCGGGCTGTGCCTTAGCTGAAGTAGACAACCCCCATCTGTTCAACATCCACCATGAGGCACAAACTGATAGCTCATTTATACCACCAACCCATGCACTCACCAAATTAAGCCAGGAAAACACGTGAGTATGTGGATGTGACAAAATCATATTGGAAAAAACAGGCCTATGAACATATTGAATACACCAGACCACAAATAATGCAATGTTCTCAATGGGCTCCTATAAAAGGAAGGCCTGCTACCACTGTGGTACAGCAGCACCCACCAGTTTGCCATTGGACCATTTGGTACATGTACCATTAGATCAATAGAGACAATGAACTCCTCATTCAGCCTATGGGACTTAAACTCTTAACAGCTCTCTTTGAGTCCTCATGACCATCATCTTCGGAAAGAACTTACCCTCTACTAGACATGACATTGACGATCATGCCCTTTACACTGAGATTCCAGGTGGCATAGTCTAGACTAGAGATTGTCAGTTTAAATCCAAAGCCAGCATCTTGTTTGCTGCCATACTGACATGATAACATAATAAATATCCCACCACTCCCAGCAAGTCCAGGAAGAGGGAAGACAAGGCTCTCAAGTGCTGTGCTATTTCCTGGAGGTCAGAGTGGTTTAATAATAGTCTTCAAATGATTCTTGAATAGTCATCAGGAGCTCCAGGAATGATGCTGAACTCTCACAGGGTTTGGATGTTTATAGATTTTAAGCATTGATTCCCAGACCCGTGTTTGACTACAGCCATCCCCTGTCCAATCCCATGTATGGATGACAGAGGGTGAAGGGACAGGCTGAAATGTCTCACTGGGCTCTAACTCCCCACTTCAACCATCACTTTTAAAGCATTCAAGACCATTTGAACAAGACCTAGCTGTTGGGATGCCTGTGGGTGCTCTTGGTGACCACCTTTCCCCAGTCCCCTTCCTGATTGATCCATTGGCTCTTTGAATGATGAATTTTGGCTGCTGATGACCAAGAGCTTCCTCCTCCTCCAGTGACTTGCCCTCAGCCCAAGAAGAATTGCTTTTTACACAAAGACCCAAATTTCCTCCCTACACCCATATAGTCACATACTGACTAACTGACACAGGGGCATGAAAGGGGATGCCTTGTGTCTCTTGAGGGAGAGCATCTGTTGTACAGGTAACATTCTGGGACTCCATAGGGCCAGGCTGAAGCTTTCTCTTCCTCCTTTCCCTCTTGCTCTCGCCTCCTAACTGCTTTGTCCCAAGAGTACTTCCTCTAGGTATTTAGTGCATTCAGTCCTTGTTTGGGGCTCTGCTTCTAGGTTCAGGTGAGACAGGAGTGGTGATGGAAGACATCCTCATATTCAGAGATGATGTAATGTAAATGGTCAGTGACAGAAATCACACACATTCCAAAGAATCATAGGCAGCATGTCCTTGGTACAGGCTGGAGAACGCTGGTATGAGTGGAAATAGTTGGGGATACAGTAGCGGGGCTTATCTGAGATGGGGCTAATCTCTATCCCACTCTTCCCCTACTTCTTCCTATCTAGGAAAGCCATAGCAGGTCAGGGTTAGGGCTGTGTGAAGGGCCTTTGTCCTGATGGTTCTAATCAAAGGTCTCCAGAGAGGCTTGAAAGAGTCTTGACAGCCCGTCTTGAGGCAGGAATGATTGTGAGCTTTTCCTGACAGGCTGAAGGCCTAGTCACCTTGAGATATTCTTCTCTAGCTAGAGAAAAGGGACAAGGTGATCCTCCTACCTGCCGGACTGTGGGCCTGGGGTTCAGTTCACAAGGATTCAGCCATGAAGTAGGCAGCTCCCAGGGCTCCCAGAGCCACAGCAACAGTTCCGAGAGCTTGAAGCACGATAGTTACGGGAAGTGCAGTATTTCCTTGAAGGTTTTCTACAAACCAAAACAGAAAGGGGATAGGGGTCGGGGAGAAAGTCTTCAGTGTCTGAGTACTAGAAGGAGACAGTGGAACTTACAGAGTCCCCTCCTGATTGTTCTCCTAAAGAGACACATTGCTCACACCCCTCTCCACAAAATTTCCTACAAGACCCATGGGGCACTAGGGTCGGTAGCCTGTGACTGATGCCCAGAGGGGCAACAAGGTCCGAGGAAGGTCCAGACTATGATGTGCCAGGCCTTGTACCAGACACCTCCCACTCAATGTGCTTCACAACAACCCTCTAAGGCAGTTTAGAGATTTTCAGATATCAGGAAATAGCATATTACATCCTCTACAAAGACTGGGACAGCAAATGAGTGAACCAGAAAACTCGAAGAAGCCATTCAAAAAGCACCGTGTCTAGTCTGATTTAAAAGCCGACTAAAGGAGTGATTCTTGTCTCCATGGATGCCTACTGTAAATCTTCTGAGAAGGTAGAGACTGCAGAAGCAGGGGCTCATGTGGGAAAATAAATGTACATCTTGCCCTGGCCATGGGATTCTTTGCTTCTTTCTCTTGCTTTCTTCACTCTGAACCGTGTTTTGGCATTTCCTACAGCATAGAACACCCCTCCTTTCCATCCTAAGCCAGAGAAAGTTCCAAGGATACTTTTGGAGTTGGCTCATACACTGGGCACACAATGCTGTCAACCCTGATATTGGTGCTGTCTTACTCTGAAACTCCCAGAAGCCCTCCTGTACCACATACTACTACCTGCTTTGTGCACAGGCTTCTAAACGCATGGATCTTAGCTAGCTAGCTTCACAGGCTGAACACACTGGAAGATAAAGATATTGTTTAGGTGTCCCTCATAGCACCTAGCATCCCCCCCCAGCGTAGGATTTGATTTTTCACCCAGGAAAACATGCAGCACCATTGAACAGACATACTGTGTGGGTGAGAGGTGAGCGGATTCTTCCTGGCTGGGACCCAAGAGATGGTATCTCTGAGTGTGTTCTCTTCCCCAAATCAACGCAAATCCCCTACATCTGTGTGATTATTATTATTATTATTCAAGGATGGTGGGCTGTGCTCCTGATGTAGGGATATGGGACCTCCAAGTGGAAGGACCTCTTCCAGGGTTTTTTTTGTGAAGTCCTGAGAATAAGCAGGGTGGCTCATTTGGTAGAGATTCCTCTCCTAGCCCCAACACGTGACCCAGCAAGTCCTGCAATGGGGAGGACATTTTCAGTTTGTTCTTAACATGGACAGCGCCCTTCTCATGAGTGCCAGTGGGCAGATGACATATGACATTTCTCTGGAGGTGTTGCAGAAGAGTAAGTAGGACAGAGACTGCGTGATGTCACGATGGAAGAAGGGGTTGCCACTAACAGACCGGTCTGGAAAACATGGCCCCTGTAAGGACTCCTGGTAACAGCATGCCATACTCTGAGTGGGGCAGGTTTTGCTATTATTAGCAGAAGGGACCTATGAGTTATGATCAGGTTTATCAATGAGTTCAGGGATAATTAACATACCGTTTGATAAGTAGATGTTCCCTGTGTATGGTATGGGTCCAAAAAAAAATATGTATATATAAGTGAATGGCCAACCAATGTGTAATCACAAAGCTCCTGAGTTTACAATGGGCTGGGTGGGAGAGTGCTCTCAGGGATGACGGTTTCCGTGGAAAAAAAAGAAAAGGGACAACAAAGAGCCTGCCCACCAAACCACAGAGATTGTTATTTAGAAGGGAAGGCTTTGCTTTTGAAAGGCCTTTGATTTTTGGAGGAAGTTACACACCGTTGCCAACAAGATCTGACGACAGAGCCTGGCCCTGGGGAGTGTACAGCCAAGGCCTTAGCCCTCCCACCCATGCGGGAACCTGTAGAAGGTGAGAAGGTTTGGGAATCCTCTCCCTGGCATGGATGACCAGTCCCGAGGCAGAAGGACATCAAAGATTCGGCTATGGCAAAGCCCCAGACGACGCCAGCAAGCGGAGCTGCCCGGGCAGGCCACACAGGGGCAGGAGCGAGGAGCCACGTAAGTCAGAGGCGCTGCTGGACAGAGAAGGAGAGAGATGAGGGCTGCACTTGGTTCTTGGGAGTGGGACACAGTCTCCAGGACAATTCTAGACGTCACATTATTGGGAGTTGGTAAGTGCTAAGAGGTGGATCCTAGCAGGTATTGCAGGGTATCAGTGGTACACCTCTGCAGGTTCTATCATGCCTTGGGCCCCTCCCTGTCTCCATTTTCTAGCTGCTTCATTGTGAGCTGCTCCTTGCCATCAATACATGGATAGTCTTAAAACTGTGAGCCAGCATAAGTCACCCTTTCAGTTATTTCTCAGGTAATTGGGTCACAGGGATGAGAAGGTTAACAAATACAATAGGCCACGAACTTTCTTTGCTTTGCCTCTTCAATACCCTATCGTTTTCTAAGCGAGCGCATGAAGATCTAAAAGATTTGGTACAGGACAGTTTTGCTTTCTACTGACACCAGCTCTGAGGCCATCACCCAGAAATGTTCATCTCCGTGATTGAAGCTCACATTACAGACAGACACTGTATGTCAAGGACAGGTTGGCCCTTAGACACAGAGTCCCCGTTGTCCTGGCAATTCCTGGGATTTAGAGCTCTCGTTCTTTCATGGCCCACGCTCTTTTTCTGCTCAGACATCAAAGCATTACTGTGGCCCAGAGTGTGTGGTTTGCTCAAGGTCATAGAGTACTTTGGTCATGGTTCAAGGAAAGGCCAGAGAAAGATATCCTCCTCCACCTTGGGAGACTGGCTGGCTTCTTAGAATTGCAAGGTCAAGGGTAGGGAATCTATAATAAGAATAGACTGAAGTTCCCCTTTCAGCCATACCAAAGGCTGCTACAGAGGACAAAGGAGTATTTCCTCCCTACAGTACTGCCAGATAAGATTAACTTAGGATGGCTGAACGGAGGGCTAGGTGTGGAAAGGATGGTCAGTGGTCAGTTGGGTTGGCTATCTTCATTATCCTTAGCAGTTTGAAGCATCCCACTTCCCAACTCCACTTGAGTCCCCTTGATACTGTCCAAAGTTTTGTCTCTCACTGGCTATCCAGTTAGATGGAGACCACTTTTTGACAGCCAGCCAGCCATTTAATTTTAGGCAGAGCTAAATTAAAGTGATGGCTATAAACATTTTTTTCCACTTTTGGTTTGTTTTATACATTGAGCAGAACCTCTTCGAGTATCTTCTGTGGGAAGGGATGACAATTTAACACACAAATACAGGATGCCTATTTGGAACAGATACTAAGAATTATAACATTATTTGTGGTTCATCTGAAGTTAGGAGTTAGTCAGGAGTCCTATATTTGATCTAGCCATCCTCTCTGTGGTCCAAGGTCAGACCTTTTGGGGTAACATAGAAAAACAAAACAAGACAAAACTCCTCCCATCTTCCATCTGGCAAACAGAAACTCCCAGTTCTCTCAAAAGCTATCTACCCCATCCCCCAGTACTATCTTCGTCAGGCCTCTCGTGAAAATAAGAAGATAAAAAGTAGCCAGAAGGCATATCACTGCTTCCTTTCTTTCAGACCATATTTTCTTTTAATTTCTAAATGGTTGCTAACTGACTCCCAATGAGAGAGTCTCCCCATGGAGCCATAAACGTTAGTATGTATCCAAGACTGTTTCCAGTGAGACCTGGGATGCTGCTATAGAATGACAAAACCTAGGAACTCTACTCTCTGGTAAAAATCATCCCCTCTACAGTTCACAAACTTGGCCCCAGGTAGCGTGCTGACTACATACCACCACCGGACAAGAGCCCACCTCTGGGGACTCTGGGACTCTATCAGCAAGAAGGTTAGAACTGCTTTAAAGCAGGAAGTCTGCCCACCTGCTTTCCTGCAGCTGGTTGGTTTAGGTTCCATGGGTACCAGGCATGGAGATGAGGTACGTTTTTCTGGAGGTGGGAGAGGTTGTGGTGTTTGTGGTTTAGGCTCAGGGTGTGGGGTGGACTCCTGGCAAGGCTGTGGCTGCGGTGGTGGCGAGGCGGGCTCTGGACATGACGGCGGGGTTTCTGAGCTGGGCTGCTGTGAGGAGTCGGAGCTAGTCTGCGGTGAAATGGAATTCCTGCGGCGCCTGGAGTCAGACTTTTTCTTTTTGACCTTCTTCATGGTGATCCTTCTAGAGTAACACCGTGGAGCTACATGGAGCTGTGAATTTCCTGGCTCCCTCCCTAGGGAGGTAGTCTCCCCTGTGGGTATGTCTCTGATCTTTGACTACAGTAAGGTCCCACAGACAAGAGTCACCCATACCTCCTGTGAGGTCACAAAAGCCAGGCTGGCCCCTGTGACTAGGGGTCTGGCGCTGGTTTCCGTGTAGCATCTTTCCATTTCCAGGGCTTTCTGCTTGAACCGGCAGGAGGCAGCAGCTGCCTTATCACTCCATGGTCTGATTGAGACAAGTCTCTTGGGCCTATGACAACTGGATCCATGATTCTGTGACCAGAGCATCCGTTTCAGGCACCTTTCGGCTGCGTGTTCCTGGGTCCGCGTGAGCTACCTTTTATTCGAAGACATCCTGAATAGGATTCTCAGCTCCGTTGCTGGTTTCTATATGTCTACCCCCAAACACAAACATTATGGTTATCATATATTTAGTAAGCTTTTAGGGAACTTGTCTGAAGATTTGACTTTTTTTTTTTTGTAGTCTTTTGTCTCCCATGGCCCACTGCCTTTTGTCATCTCTGAATGTGTGAACATGGGTGCCTGCTTGTAAAAGTGTGTGTATGTCTGAACTTTTATAAGAACCCTTCAATTTGGCCAAGAACTCTACCTTAAGCCAGTTCTCAGAAAATGAAAAATTTCTCATTACATTGGTGAAACAGACTTATTACCTCCCAAAACACTGGATAGGTCAAATGGATTATGAATCTCTTAACAATTTGACTTTCATTTTAGGATGAAAGAGTGAAAAGTAGTTTGAAAATATAGCCTAAATGTCACACACTACAGTAGAAAAATGGGTTCCCAGCAAGAGACAGAACTTCCTCCATGAACTAGGTAAGCTTCATGGGTAAGTACACCTGCCCTACTCAGACTCCTGAGGCTGGGGGAGAGGGTGAGGCTACAGTAAGGGAGGGTGGAGCAAGAGCTAGCAAGCCAGAAATGTCCTAGACCAGCCACACACAACAACGGCTAGACCAGATGTCAACAGTGAAGTGAGAGAATCTATTTTCAGGGTCCTGGAGCCAGCAAAGACTTTAGCAATTTATTATTATTATTATTCCAAAAAGGATATTGATATTGAGAGAAGTTCAAGTACATAAGTACCTCCTAGACTAAATTCCCACCTCTAGTTGATTGGTGACACACTCAAGATTAGCTTCCAATTAAGGGTTCTTTTTCTTTATGACCCCAGTAGGCAATGGAGAATCAGATTATACAGGCTTTGAAATTAAAGGATTAGAAAAAAAAATTAAAGCTTTTTGCATGAGAAGATTGGAGAAAGGTATGGATGGATTGGGAATACAGCTCAGATCAGTAGCATGGATCGGGCTGTGTCTGGTTGGTTTAGAGTAAGGCAATTCAGAGGGCAGGTGACTCTACAAGACCGTTTTCTGATGTCAAGAGCTATGGACCATGTGAGGGGTTGACATTCAGAATCAGGCTGAGGCTGGGACCTTTTCAGTGACTGTTAGACTTTGACTGAGGAGCTTAACCTGATTGAAATTAGTTTCTCTATCTCAGTTCTGATTGACACTATGGGCTGGATAGTTATCTTCTGAGGGAGGCTGTGTTCTAGGAAGCTCTGCAGCCTCTCTGGCCTTGATTGGCCAGTGCCCCATCAGTATAACTAAAAACAACAACAAAAGCAACAACAACAACAAACAACATCTCCAGATGTGGCTAAATATTCCTAGAGCCATGAAATAGCTATTTAATTTCACCTTAAAGAGACAGAACAGGGTACGGGACACAGGGGCTTGTGTTCCTGGGAGATAGAGGGCAGAATACAGGTTAAGGAGTGTTTGTACCATTAAGGAGAAAATAGTGGTTTAGAAACAGGGAGAAGTCCTCATGAGAGTTCCCTGCCAAGAACCTGGCTCCTCTATGTCACAGTCATAGGGCGCTTAACTTAGGCTTCCTTCTAGATTTGTCTTAGCTTTTATTCCCTTCTCCCTAGATCTGGGCAAGGAGAACCAACAGGTTCCAGAATCCAAAGAGAGTGAAAGTGGCACAGTGGAGCTGCAGAAGACTCTAGGCAGAGTTGGGAACTTTTCTTACTAAGAAGCTGTTGTCAAAGATGGGCTAGGATTTTTGTAGTCCCTGAGGAGAGTCACAATTGGAATGGCCCATCAGTGGGGACTTTAAAAAGCAGGAGCCATGCCATGTGGCAATGAGTTAAAAAAGGTTGGAGGTTAGGTAGCAGGATAAGGCTTTGAGTGTGATAATACTGTGCCCCATCAACAGTCCCTGAGGCTCTGGCCTTTCAGTGTGTTCTGCACACTAGAGTGTGCCACACTAGCACTGTGAAGCTAGTCTCTATGTGCTGAGTCTGGCATCAAGCGGTCCTTCATCCTTGCATGTCATGTGGTAGGGTAATGGGTCTAACGAGAGAGAGCTTGCTATGGCCACTACCTGAAAGGAGACAGAGCCTCTGTAATGTAGCCTCGAGGGGCCTGTGTTCTGGTTTCTTTGCTGTCCCAGGAAGGGGCTTCTGGAAACAGAAAGTGCCAGAAGCCCATGTTAAGAGCCTACTGCTCAATGACTCTAGGCTACATATTAATCCTTCAGGGCCACAAGAAGTGTACTAGGGGCTTTGAGTTTAAAAAACAAAACAAAACAAAACAAAACAAAACAAAACAAAACAAAAGAACCCCAAACCAATTGTAAGCTAGTTGACTCTCTTGAAGTCCCAACCACCTTAGAGAGCTGCAGTGAAGGTGAAGAACCCTTAGCACAGTGACTGGCTCACAACAAGCTGCTTTTATTGTCATTTTTATCCCCTGGAGGAGTAACAGACAATGGAGCCCGCTAAGGAACCTGGGAAGAGTGTTAGTGCATTTGGAGAAGAGGAGGGTGGGCCATTACAGGTCCCATAACATTCATCAAACAAGTTACAAAAGCAGGATTTCTCCTATGCTGAGGGCAGGGCAGATGGGCGGGAGAGGTAACCCTCTGGGTTAATTTGAACACTTTCAGATTGTCCCAGCCCATACATCTTGGGGGAAAGGACGCAGGTTCATTACCATTCAGATGGTGCCCCAAACGTCTGGAGGCGCCAACACAGGGGCTGTGAGGTCAGGGATTTGCCCACTTCTCAGGGGAACAACAATCTCCACCCTCGGGCCCCTCACCATCCGTTTGGGTCTGGCGATCCACTAGGGAGACCATGCGCCCTTGGCTGGCAGCGCGCTGGACGTCCAGGACACCCTGGGGGCGGCTGGGACAGAACACTGCTGTGTGCACCTCGACCCTTGGGTTGTCTGAAGAGAAGACGTTGTATAGCAGGTCCCCTAGACGGCGGCGCGACTCGGCCTCCTCATCCGGCCGCGGCTGCACCAGGATCCCGACGAGCGCGGCTGGCGGGCGACGGTTCTGGACCCGTACCTGCTGCAGAAGCAGCTGAAGTCGCGGCAGCTGCGTGTCCAGCGCCGACGCGTGGCACAGCACCAAGAGCAACTGCTTGCCGGGCTCCGAGGTTAGCTCGGCGATCTCAGCCGCCTCCGAGCCGGAGGGTCCTTGTGGAGCCCAAGGCGCCTCGCAATCGAGCAAGTCCTTTTCCTTGAGACCCGAGAACTGCGGCATCTCTGCTCGCCGCTTGGCGGCCGGGGCTTCAGGGTTGTCCGCCAAGCTGTCGCCAGTGCGCTTGAGTGGCCGCCTGACACTGCTGCAACTACTTTGGCAGTCTGCTGCTTGGGTGTCGTCGGGCGGGGTCTTGTAGCTTTCCTCCTGCTCGAAGAACTTTCTTATTAACAGCACCCGACCGCGGCCTGAAACAGACTGACTTGGGGTCTCCGGCTGCTCCTCGATCTTTTCCTTTTTTGAGGCCCTTGAGGGCTGCTCCCCAGGCCTCTGTTTCATGTCGGTCCGGCTCCCTTGTCCCAATGGCTTGGGACCTTAGTTAGCCAAAGGAAAGACTGCCTTTCCCCGAGCATGTCACAATACCCCTCGGCCTTACAGCCTCCTGCCTCAAGCAGCCAAGGGCCTCTACTCTACTATTCCTTGGGAATTTTCCAACACAGGAAATTGATGTTGGATGCTGGAATAACATTTCCTCCTCTCCTTTCTCTTTCCCCTCTCCCTCCCCCCCCAACCCCCTCCCCCACTCCCGCCTCTTAAAAGGCACATCTTTCCAGACCGTACATGAACCTCTTATACTAAAGCCTCGAAGATAAAAAAGACATTTTAAAAACAGTAGACCAGACGAGCCTTGACACGACACAACCAGAGACCGGGATTCTGATGGTTGGATAATTTGCTCCTTTTGCTAATTTTTAAAAAGTCTTTTTTATTGGATATTTTATTTACATTTCAGATGTAATCCCCTTTCCCCATTTCCCTCTCACCTAGGAACCCCCCTATCCCATTCCCCCCTCCTCCTGCTTCTATGAGGATATGCCCACACCCACCCTCCCACTCCCACCTCCCCACCCACGATTTCCCCCACACTGGGGCGTCCAGCCTTCACTGGACCAAAGACTTCCTCACCCACCTATGCCGGACAAGGCCATCCTCCCCTACATATACAGCTGGGGCCATGGGTCCCTCCCTATATGCTCCCAGGCTGGTGGTTTAGACCCTGGGAACTCTGGTTGGTTGGTGTTGTTGCTTTCCCCATGGGGCCACAAACTCTTTCAGCTCTTTCACTCATCCATTGGGAATCCCATGATCAGCTCAGTGGCTAGTGTGAGCATCCACCTCTGTATATTTCAGGCTCTGGCAGACCTGTAGGGAGACAATTGTATCAGGCTCCTGTCAGCATGCACTTCCTGGCATCCACATCAGTGTTTACCTTTGGTAACTGCACAAGGGATGGATACCCAGGTGGAGCAGACTCTAGACGGCCCCTCCTTCAGTTTCTGTCCCATGCTTTGTCTCCATATTTGCTCCCATGAGTATTTTATTACCCCCTTCTAAAAAGGGCCAAAGCACTCACACTTTGGTCTTCCTTGTTTATGAGCTTCATGTGGTCTGTGAGTTGTATCTTGGATATTTTGAGCTTTTGGGCTAATATCCAATTATCAGTGAGTGCATACGATGTGTGTTCTT